AAGCGAGCCGATGTTAGCCGAGTCCTAGGATCCTGGTCGCTAGGCAACGCGAGTCAACAGCGGTGACGTCACCAAGTAGTAACAGCGGTTACTTCCGCTAGCGCCAGGCAACAAGGGTGCCTATTACGTGGTCGTATTTTCCGATTGAGGCTACATAGGGAGCAGCGAAGGCTATTCACAGTTAGTTGTACTGAGTCAGTCAGTGAGTCCTGGAGCTACCGCCGAGTTAGCCAGCAACTAGTCAGTTGTATTGTGGCATTTGGAGTGTACTATTTGTGATACTGCAGATAGCAGTAATCGTAAATCTGTAATTTGGGTGATTGTAAGTGCGATTGTGAAATAAAATTCGCTACATCAAATACATCGTGAAGTTATTTGTCGCGATATACGCCCGATACGCGACAATATCTTATATTTAAATCAACACCTAGATGCCGGAATATAGATGCACATAGAAAATAGTCATTTTAAGTGTGAATGTAAATATGTATATGCACTTTACAATTCAGTAATGAAAATGTATAGATTACAACACCGAGGATGACCCTGTAAGGAACATAAGTTAATAAATTATAATTGCCTTGATGGTGGAATTTGTAATATTAATAATGTACAGAACTGCTACAATTTGACATTTGACAACTTTAATATCTGCCGTATATCAGTTTGGTCCATCCATTGGAAGAGGGGGGGTATGGGTAGAAATCATAAAACAGATTGCCAATCATACAATTCCTGCATTATTAATTAATGACATTTAGATTACTTAAATTAGATTCAGCTTGTGTAATCGTTTTGACAGTGAACTGATGTTAGGACAGGAAGGACTAATGCCAGTCACAGTACACCTCCCAGAGTTTCACATTGTCAAGAAGGTCAAGAATGAGGTTGAGAAACCTAGAAAGTGAGAGCATGAAAAGGGAATTGCTGAATCTGAAGGTCATCAGAAACAGATGACCTTTCCCTCTTCATGAGAAGTGCCCATGGACTTGTTATGGAGAAGATAAGGGCTACCTTCACAGAAAGTGCAGTACACTTTGAATTTTTTATGTGTATGGCCCCACTTCTGTAAGAGGAGGTACCAGAGTGAGAAAAGACCGCACTTGTCTCACTGTAGATCACAACCTGGTCAAAGGTCAGTATGAAGACATCATGGGTCAGCTGAGATAGGGAACATTTACTTCAACCTAGAAGGCAAAAGTAACATATTCCTCTGAAAAGTTTGTATCCACCTACAATACTGTAAGGTGTCACAATCCAGAAAAGCACACTGTAGTTGCTTACCACCCTCAAACCCCGAAAACGCATTAAGTCATGGCTTCAGAATAAAGTGATAGCAGCCATGTGCTAAATTCAAGGGTGCATACGAATTACGGAAGCGTGTGTGATGAATCTTTTTTTTTTTTGAGGGAAAGGAAGGATGGTGCCTGAATATAATTTTATTTATGCCATAAACATGCCGTAGTTGAAATAAGCAGTTAACATGAGTCTGAGGGTGATGTATTTGACACGTTATAATCAGCCAATACTTTGTTTAGCTCTAGACGAAAAAGAAGTGAAGTATAGCATGTTGCTTAAAGCATGAACATGCTATAGTTAAAATAGAGTTAAATTAAATTGATCAATTTGTCTCATCCTAATTACTTACTTACTCATGGAGCTGAGCCCTTCTGGAGGAGCCGCCAATTCTGCAGCTACTCAAGAATTTCCAAGCAGTATATGGAACCCGAATGGTTCATTACCGTGTTCACAAGAGCCCTCCACTGGTCCCTCCCATCCTATCTATTTAAGATCCATNACACGGTGCCTAAACCCAGAAGACAACTTTCTTCATTGTCATCGCCGTGAAAACCTCAAAACTTACAATTTTAATATTGTTTACCAACCTACGCCTTGGTCTTCCCAGTGGTCTCTTTCCTTCTGGCTTTCCCACCAATATTCTACACACATTCCTCGTCGCCCCCATTCGTGCTACATGCCCTGCCCACCTAATCCTCTTGGACTTGATCATTCTAATTATACTTGGAGGAAAGTACACGTTACGAAGCTCCTCATTATGCTGTTTTCTCCAACCTCCTGTCACTTCATCTCTCTTCGGTCCAAATATTCTCCCCAACACCCTGTTCTCAAACACCCTCAGTCTATGGTCCTCCCGTAATGTCAGAGACTAATTTCACACCCATACAGAACCACAGGCAAAATTATAGTTTTGTATAATCAAATTCTTATGTTTTTGGACAGCAGACGAGAAGACAAAAGGTTCTGGACTGAATGGTAGCAAGCATTACCCGAGTTCAATCTCCTCTTAATTTCCTCCTGAATCGGGTTTCGATCTGTTATCGTTGTTCCCAAATATCTGAATTGTACCACATTTTTAAAACATCTGTTTCCTACTTTATATCATGATTTTGCCCTGCATTTTGGTGACGAGACAGCGACATATACTTGGTTTGCTCAGTGTTTACTTCTACACCAACCTCTTTACTTGTGTCAATTAAAGCTTTTGTGTTTTTCCTTATGGTATCTACATTATCACCCAGTAGATTCACATCATCGGCATAGGCCCACAGCTGATGTGTCCCGTTTAATTAATTACCTTTAGTAATACACTGTTTTTCGAAATTTACATCTGTAATTTTTACGGGAGTGAACGGAGAAGTTCATGGAGGTAGGCCTACGCCCACTGGGGCTGTAGTGCCAAGGAAAGGAAACAAATTTACGAGATGTTGGCGATAACCAACATAAGCTAGGTTAGGTAACGCTGTTCATGTTCATGACATTTATTTCAAATTCAATCAGATCCAGGTACAGGCTGAGAAGTATATTCACAAACCACTGGATATAGAATGAGTCGCATATCAAAACAAATGTTCATTTGAAGTGATGTTGCAGTAACCATATGTCAGTCGTGACCGTCGTGACACGCCAATACAGGTAAATTAAAAACACTGATATATTTCCGCGTGACCGTCATCCGTGGTGGCTGCAATGTCTGTCTTGAAACGCATGAAACTGACGTCTGTATCGGTCTAAATCGTCTAAATATTCACCATCCAAAATGAGCTTTCATTATTTCAAGGCTGCAGGACATGCAACAGTTTATAACAAGTTTCGACCGAAACCACCTGAAGAACTTGTCAAAAGGATAATTGATTTTCTTGTGGAAAAGGTACCACATGGTAGAATTAGAATTTATTTACATTCCATAGATCTCTTATAGGGGGAGTAGGCAAAGGATGCAAAACATATTATAATACAAATACAGTATTTACGAGTAATACACATACAAGTATAAATATATATACATATTTATTTTGACCATTTGTGGACATTTATGTAATACGGAACAAAATAATTGTGTTAAAGAACTATTTACTTTTTAAATTTACAACGTTGGATCATTATGAGCTGGGATAACGCAGTCGGTATAGCGACTGAGTACGAGCTGAACGACCGAGGAATCGGAGTTTTGAGTCCTGATAAGGCAAGAATTTTAACTTCTGCACCTCGTCCAGAACGGCTCCGAGGCCCACCCATCCTCTTATCCAATGGATCCCGGCGGGTCATTCCCCGGGGGTAAAGCGGCCGGGGCGTCAAGCCGACCATTCACTTCCAACCAGTGCTGAGATCAAGAAAACGTGAATCTATACATCCACTCCCCCATACGTCTTCATGGTACAACATGGACAACTTTACCTTTTACGCTGGAACATTTTATCATGATTTGAAGTTGATAGGTGGAAGATTATTGAATAAGATAATTCTTTTGTAGTATGTACCTTTGTTATATGTTGTGAAGGTGTCATTTGACCTTTGGAGGCCATATCTGTCATTGGTTTAAATTGTGAATATCAGAATTTGCTTGAAACTTTGCCACGTTATCCACAGTGGATGACAGAGAGTAGAACTTCACTGGAAACAGGATAAATATTGCACTTCTTAAATATATTCTCTAAATGTTGTGTTTGAATGCCTGCCATTATTCTAATTGTTATTTTGTTTTCTGGATGTTATGTTTTTTTGCTGGAAATTGAATTTACCCTAAAAAAAATACCTCATGTGACATGATAGAGTGGAAATAAATGAAGTAATTTAATTGTAACTTATGTATTTACATGAGTGACAGAGTAAAACACCCTGAAATTCACTTAAGTGTGATACTGTGGAATTTAGTAGTAGAGTTTATAGTATGATTTAAACAAATAGTTGTCATTGTTTCTACTGAGAATGAACAAAGATTCCTTCCGCCTACAGGAGGTATGTATTCCAGCTGTTATCCAGCCATTATCATTGTGTTTATTTGTTATAGTTTGCTTCAGAAAGCATGACTCATAGACAAGTAAATACTTATTTAAAAATGAATTGAATATTTTGTTTACATCATTAAGTTTATACATATTTTCACATTTTTCATTAGATAGTTTATTAAGAAATTGTGCAATTGAATCTTCATTTACTAATCTTGTTGTGATTCCCTGCACTTTTTTCTTCTCCAGGTTATCGATATGTTTTACTACAAGACACTGAGCATCGTGATCCGATAGTCCATTACTAACAGAGATAACATCATATGAATTTTTCTTTGCATTATCAGTTGCAGAGCTTTTGGTCTCACTTATTCTAGTTGGGAACTGTACTGTATGAAATTATTAAAATTAACTTAAGTGATATTGTGGAATTTAGTTGGTCCTACTTCTTTGTTTGTCTTATTGTCATAATCAGTATTTACAATGCAAGTTTTCGTTGTTAGTGGGAAACTATAAAGTTTGTCTTGTCCAAATTTTATGAAAATTTATTGACTTTCAACCATTTGTGTAAACTAGCAAAGACAGTCATTCAAGCATTTTGAAGCTAGTCAGTTTCTTGATGTGAATTCATAATATTTTAATAGTCAATAGAGAGTGTAGATTTTGATTTTAGGTGGTTTGGGGTAGATCAGTGATGTGCATGAGAAAAAGCGGAGAACCTTACAGTACTCCCATGTTTTACAATACCCCAATTAGAGTAGATGTAATAATATGGATTTGGGGATTTTGTGTGCAGTAGAAACATTTACATTCAATTTGAATATATTTATATTCCATAAATCCAGGTACAGGTTGACACCGTAGGATATGGAACAAGTCAAGTACAGATACACAATATCTGTGCAATAATAGTTTTGCTTGAAAAGTTAATAAGATTATAATACAGTATTAATATCACCATGCCAGTTGGATACATACAGCACAGTCTGCAAATAAGCAAAATGAAACAGTAACATGCTTAGGAATACACTTCAGGTTAGAATTGATACTAGTTACTGTTTGTTTACATTGAAATATTCATCTCTGGAGTAGAATGAGTGGGTAAGTAAGTAATGTTTCAGTGCTGTTTTAAAGTATTATATTTAAGCATCCTGTTGCACTCCATACGATAAATGATATAAACTCCGTCTCAAGTGCAAACAATATATTTTGTGTCTTTGATCTTGCTCCCCTACACTACATGTTTCGGCCTCAGACGGCCATCATCAGTTGTATAACACATCGCTGTCACACTGCACCCAGCTCAAAATTTAACATTTAAAAACACTTTCCTTGTTATTATCAACTTCACTTCGTTGATAACTGTCTGGTTTGTAGATTATTTTATCTTACACACGTTAATTTTGACTTTGTTGTAATAGCACTATACTAAAATCTTTAGTTCTAATTTTAAAAACCTTTAAATTTACAATATAATATTGTAAACAGTGGTCATACAAAAAGCATTTATAAATATATGAATTGTAAACAGAAACTGTTACACTGCAACGCTAACATAAAATTTAACAAAACCTGTCTGAAGGAAAAACTAGTACCAAAATACGCATACGTGAAAATAACAACAAACAACGAAGCGGCTAAGAAAACACAAATACAGGCCCAAACATTATGCATAAAAAATGAAATAAAATTTCTATATAAAAAGAAACAACAATTAAACACACAACTCTATCACATTCACATACACAATGCAAACACATGGCAACGAACATGGAATAACATCGAACACTCAATAGAAGAAAAGTTACAACAAGATATAGAAACAACATATCTAAAACAACAACAAAAAATAAACAATATGAAGAAAACACAAAATATAAATATAACAAGCAAAAACATACAATACACGAGAGTAGTGAATCAAACAAATATACAATTTACACACGANACCCAGTTACTGAGTAAAGGCCTTAAATATAATCTACATCACAAGAATAAAAAATGGATTGAGACATTAGCCCTAGAAGCTGAAACAGCAGTAAATAACCTAGAACTAACAGAACAAAGTTATTATAGACATCTAATTGCGAAGAAACTAAAAGATAAAATAAATAATGAATATAAAAAATAAAATTGAACAGAATAAACTTATTATAATGAAAGCAGATAAAGGAAAAACACTAGTAATACTAACACAAGAAGAATATAAACAGAAAATAAATATCTTCATACACAATAACCAATTCATTAAAATTGACAAAAATCCGACCCAACAATATCAAAGGGCGGTAAAACAAACACTGAAACAGTGTAATAACATCATACAAGACAAATGGAGATTTACAAATATGAACCCCACAGCCCCAAACCTACACGCCACAATAAAATTACATAAACCTAACACACCCATTAGACCAATAATAAACTGGAAGAACGCCCCAGCTTACGAAATGACAAGGAAATTGGCGAAAGTGTTGCATGATTATCTAGAACTACCAAACACATACAATGTCAAAAACTCCTCCCACTTAATGTTAGATTTACAAGCTATTAAACTTAATGAGAACATACGATTATGTTCCTTTGACATTGAAAACATGTATACAAATATACCAAAAACTAACACCATAGATATAATAAACACTATATTAGGAAAAAACCATAAAATAAATAAAGAAAGCCACAAAGAAACAATACATATGTTAAAAACAGTATTTGAACAAAATTATTTCCAAATTGACGAAGAATACTACAAACAAACAGATGGACTAGCTATGGGAGCCCCTACATCAGCTATAATAGCGGAAACATATATACAATATATGGAACACACGCAAATATATCCCATTCTAGTAAAACAACAAATAGTGGCCTACTTCAGATATGTCGATGACATATTAATAATATATGATGAAAAAATAACAAACATAGAACATACACTCAAAGAAATCAATGAATTGCAACAAAATATAAAGTTCACCATTGAAAGAGAACAACAAGAATCAATTAACTTTCTAGATATAACAATATATCGCAATGAAGATAGTTTGCAATTCACAATATATAGGAAACCCACACAAACAGACATCATAATACCTAACAGTTCGTGCCATCCATTCGAGCACAAATTGTCGGGTATTAATTACCTAATAAATAGACTCAACACATACCCAATAACGGAAAAAGGAAAGCAAATAGAGAAGAACATTATTAAAAACATACTACAGAACAATGGACACGACACAAACATAATCAAAAGATTAAATCAGACAACACGAAAACAAAAATCAAACACACATGACAACGAACAACATAAAACAAAGTGGGCCATATTTACATATAGTACAAAAGAAGTGAGAAAAATGAACAAGTGTCCAGTGTGACTATTTCAGTTTTCTCACTTTATGATTAACTAGCCTTACATGTTTCGATCCAGTTGGATCATCTTCAGAGGCACCAAACACTTTTTAGAAACCACTATCACAACAGTTGTCATATCAATTACACATGTATTGCCAAGTACACAATGTTCCATCTATCAGTCACAGCAGCCTTTCTGGTTATAGAAATATTTAAAGTTGTTTTAAAGTTTTAAAAACTTTGTTCAAAATTAAAATTCACAAACCTTACGGTTCGTGTCAGTAACCCCTGTTGTCTTCTAGGTGGCTGATGTTGTGCCTCCTATGTAACTTGAGTAAGGAGATTCTTAATATAGTCCATTATGATTTCTTGGCCCGCTGTGCTGTGACGGACCAAAAATGAAACAAATCGAAAAAAAAAAAAGATTTGAGTAAAAATCCTTAAGTAGATATTGAGAAAGGAATTAAATTTAGTGTCAATGTCAACATTACTGAATACAGTATCCCATGTTTCACAGCTTAATTTCATAACAGAGTCAACCATCGAGTTATTGTCTGTTTTCCTTACCAATTTCTGTTGTTGGTTAGAATGAGGCTCCAAAGCAATACAAAGTATTTCTAAGAGTTGTGCTTTGTGGTCGGACAAACCATTTGAGAGAGGTGTAAGAATATACATTTCTAATTTTGAGCAACTATCAATGAAAATATCATTTGCTGAAATGGAATTATTTTGAATTCTTCTCAGAAAGTTTAATATACTGGAGAGATTGTAGGATAGTAGCAGAGAGTTTAAACATGTTTTCCTATTATTTGCGTTTATGTCACCACAAATAACAATTTCATTTTTTTTTTTCGTTATGCAGTATATTAAGGATGGGCTCACTCTGTTTAAGAATTCAGAGAAGTTCCCTGATGGGGCTCTATATAGGGCCAAAATACGTGTATTTGAAAATGTGGATTTTAATTTCAGACAACAGGCTTCTATCTCCTTGTCTAAGCAGTACTCCTCTATATTAACATTAGTGAATTTTAGTTTTTTTTAGCAAATATATACGCACTCCTCCCTTTTCCATTGACTGCCTGCAATATTTTGCTCCTAATCTGTAATTTTCTATGTGGGTGTGTTCTAATTCTACTCTTTTCATATGGTGTTCTGTGAGGCATAATATGTGTGGAATAGTTGAATACAGGGAGCTTATTAGTTGATTCCTTTTGTTCTCTAGGCCTCGTATATTCTGGTGGAATACCTATAATATCTTATGTTTTATTGATATTGTTGTACTTGTGGTTCTGTTTATGATTCCGCTTGTTTGATTTATTTTACTGTTTGGTAGGTTAGCTTCTTTGTGACTGCTGTTACCCCAGTAGTTTTGTTAGAATTAGTTGGCTGAGGGCAGTGTGCCTTCCTATCATTAATTATCAGATCACTCACTTGACACACCTATTGACCATAAAAAATGATCTTTCCTTGTTACTATATGTTTTTTGCATCTGTTAGGAAGAGACAATATGTTCTTTATCATTTTTGTTCATGATCACAAAAGTATTTTGTTAGCTGCTTATGTAAATGGTTTCTTGTGTTTACTTTTATTTAGATTTCACCACCGTTAGTCAGAGCCATTGATGTTGGATGTGGTGGTGGCCAAAGCACTGATGTTTTAGCTTCATTTTTCCAGAATGTACAAGGTTTTGACCCGAGTGAATCACAAATTACCGAAGCTACTCGAAAGAACAAATTTCACAATGTGACCTACAGGTGAAATCATAACCTTGGTGTAAAATAAGTAAATCCACAAATTTATGATTTAATGTAATACTTTTGGTAATGGAATTTTAAATTTTTATTCTATAGCATGCATATTCCTTGTTATTTACAATAGTTTTATGCTCATTACATGGGTCTGGAAATGCTTCTGTATTGAACTAGAGCCATTCAAATGCATTTTTGAAACAGTAGGATTAGAATTGTGGTTAAAAATGTAACATATGCTAGGAACACTTTGGAAGAAAATCAGAGCGTGGAGTTGATAATGTGAATGGCTACTTGTGTTTTATCACTGCAACCTTCCCCATTCAACAGCAAAACACAGTCAGCATGGTGTTCCCTGCAACAGTAGGATAGTAGAACTTAAGGTGCAAGAGTAGCTTTATTATATGACAGTACACCTTGGGTTAAACATTTGTCAGACAAATGTTATCAGTGACAAAGGAGTTCTGTTCAAGAAACAGAGCAACAGTTGACTAAAATTTTAGTTATACATTCCAGTGTCAGGAGGTAACAACTGTTATTAGTTTTACAGTAGGTGTTCAAAATGTTCACCTTGCACTGCCACATAAGCCACATACTGTTCTGCAGTATTAACTGCTGAAGAGTACAGCAAATTTTTCAGATGTCCCCAAAGGAAAAATAAAAGGGATTCAGGTCTGATGAATGACTTGTCCAGGATACTGGCCCCTGCCTTCCTGTCCATCGCTCAGTGCATGCAGTCTCAAGGTAATTTCTAGTGGCATAACTGAAATGGGGGGTGCACTATGCTACAAGCCAGAAGGTCGCGGGTTCAGATCCCGATGAGGCCATTGGATTTTTTCAATTTACCTAATCCTTTCAGCTGTGCTATGGCCCTGGGGTCGACTCAGCCTCTAACAGAAATGAGTACCAGGAATATTCTTGGAATGTTCTTGGGGGTAAAGGGCTGACAACTTTGCCACCATCTATGAGCTGATTGTCTAGTAAATGTGGGAACCTCAACATCCCACAACCCTATGGGCCTCCACGGCCTGTTACAGGGATAGCTTTACTTTTTTTTTTTTACTGAAATGGGCTGAGACACCATCATGCATAAATTACATGTTTTTGTCAAATATCCACCAGACAGTGTCCAGTAACTCTGACAAAGTGTGCTTCAAAAAATGTAAGCAAGCAGTGCCATTGAGTCTATGAGGCAAAACATATTGGCCTATGAAACAGTCCCCAGGAGTACTAGTCTGGACATTAATTGTGAACTGCTATTGGCGTCTGGATTTAATTGTACTTTATGTGTGTATGTTGCTCCAATTGTGCCTGTTATGTAAATTTAGTATGCAGTTCCTTGTGAAGCCTGCTCTATCAGTGAACAGTATATGGCAGCTAAAGAAGGGACCTTCTCCATATGGTCAAAGGAATGACTGTCAGTATTCTTGGTGTGGGTCAAGTGAACTTAGAGTTTGTACCTATTGCATATGGTGGAACAAGACAAATTGCAGGATCCAAGCGAAATAAATGGGGATAATCTGAACAATATAAGACATGAAACCAGCAGGCATTTCGGGGGGAAAAAAGAGGGAATATCTGAAAGACAACATTGATGAGCTTGCAACGAACAGCAAAAACAAGAATATTAGAGACCTGTATAGAGGAATAAATGACTTTAAGAGTGGTTACCAACCTAGGAGTTACTTAATGAAGGATGAGAATGGTGATGTACTTGCAGATTCCCATGACATTTTGAATAGGTGGAAGAACTACTTCTCTCACTTATTGAATGTACACAGGGTCAGTGATGTTAGGCAGATAGAAGTACATACAGCTGAGTTGTTAGTACCTGAAGTACCTGATCCTAATCCTTTTGGGGTTTAAATTGTTATTGCAAAGTTGAAAAGGTATAAATCTCCTGGTAGTGATCAAATTCTGGCAGAACTTATTCAAGCAGGAGGTGAAATATTACAGTCTAAGATCCATAAGCTAATTAATTCTATTTGGAATAAGGAAGAATTGCCTGATCAGAGGAAGGAGTCTATTATTGTACCAGTTCACAAGAAGGGTGATAAAACTGACTGTAGTAATTATTGTCGGATATCATTGCTATCAACTTCTTACAAAATATTGTTCAATATTCTTCTCTCAAGGTTAAGTCCATACATAAATGAAATTATTTGGGATCACCAGTGTGGGTTTCAACATAACAGACAACTACTAATCAGATCTTTTGCATTCATCAGATACTGGAGAAAAAATGGGGGTACAGTGAGACAGTACGTCAGCAATAGCAATTTGTAGAGTTCAGGAAAGCCTATGAGTCAGTTAGGATGGAAGTATTGTACAATATTCTGATAGAGTTTGGGGTACCCATGAAACTAGTTAGGCTGATTAAAATGTGTTTAAACGAAAGTCCTTACAGGTAAACATTTGTCTGATAGTTTTCGTACCCAGAATGGTCTAAAACGAGATCCTTTATCGCCACTGCTTTTCAATTTTGCTTTAGGATATGCCATTAGAAAGGACCAGGTAAACCAGGGGGGACTGAAATTGAATGCGACACATCAGCTGTTGTTCTGTGCTGATGTGAATCTACTGGGTGATAATATAGATACCATAAAGAAAAACACACAGTCTTTTATTGACATTAGTAAGGAGATTGGTCTAGAAGTAAATACAGAGAAAACTGAGTATATGTTGCTGTCCCATCACCAGAATGCAGGATCAATATCATGACATAAAGATAGCTAACAGATGTGAAAATATGGCAGAGTTCAGATATTTGAGAATGATTAATAAATCAAAACCTTCTTCAGGAGGAAATTGAATTCTGTTAATGCTTGCTACCATTCAGTCCCGAAACTTCCATCTTCTCATCTGATGCCTAGAAACATAAAAATCAGAATATAAAGAAGTATAATTTTGCCTGTGGTTCTATATGGGTGTGAAACTTGGTCTGTGACATTAAGGGTGGAACATAGACTGAGGGTGTTGAGAAGAATATTTGGACTAAAGAGAGATGAAGTGATGGGAGGTTGGAGAGGATTACATAATGAGGAGCTTCACAACTTGTACACTTCGCCAAGTATAATTAGAATGATCATGTCAAGGAGGATGAGATGAGCAAGGCATGTAGCACAAATGGGGGAGAAGAGGAATGCATGTAGGATATTGATGGAATAAGCCAGAAGGAAAGAGACCACTAGGAAGACTAAGATGTAGGTGGGTGGCCAATATTAAAGTGGATCTTAGAGAGATAGGATGGGGTGGTATGGATTGGATTGATCTGGCTCAGGATAGGGAGCAGTGGAGGGCTCTTGTGAACACGGTAATGAACCTTCGGGGTCTATAAAATGCTGGGAATTTCTTGAGTAGCTACACAGTTTGTTGCTTCTCAAGAAGTGCTTAGGTACATGAGTCAGTGAGTGATGGGTACAGCAACTGTTCATGGAGAATCCACAGAACTGTCATGTATGTGCGCCACATGTTTGGCAGCTGGAATTGGATTTAATTAAGTTTGCATGTGTTCAGAAGTCTATGTTGATGATATATCTCTGCATACACCCTTACAACTGCTACACCATTACCATGGGCTTAACCAGGGATTTAGCTGCATTTTGGTATATTATCAGAATGTGTAATTGTCCATTATTTATGCAAACTTACAAAGCAGCTGTGACACTGAAAAAGCAGCACTTCACTAAATGTACATTTAACTGGAAATGAATGCCTGGTGTGTCACGCTAGTGACGTGGTCAACTCACTGTCGTTGTTATTGGAGAGGGTGGGTTTCCCCATGCACTTAGACCAGATATTGGTCCATTGTGCGTCCCCCTGTGATATTCTACCAGTCTCTATTCCCTACCGGTACTGGTGCGTGCCATCAGTCCCGACTCAGCCAGCGAGTTCGGCCTCTACTGGCTCAGCGGTATCTTGATGCTTCCCCCATCTACCAGAGGCGTTAGAGACTACTGTTGGGCAGGAAATGTCCTGAATTTCGCTCAGAGGTCCCCTTGGGACATGAGGTTCTTTTACATGCTGTAAAGCTATGACACGGGACCCACGGCTTAAAGTCCCCCCCCGGAGGACTTGTTCCCTGAATTTTTCCGCCCTTAAAAATTCCACGACCTCCACCGGGTTCGAACCCGCGTACCTTGAGTCACGACACTATCATTGTAAACCTGACAACCATATTATACCAGTCACACTGGATGGAATTGTTTTATCTTTTATAATATTGTCAGTGTGACGGACCAGAATGAAACAAATAAAAAAAATGACAACCATATATTATCTTGTTGAATGAAAAGGTGGTAGTGATAAAAGTCATTCATAATGTCCATTCTAACTGCGATTTCCTTCAGAAGTTTGTTACTTTTGTAGCCAAAATTATAATTCTACTATTGGCAGAACACCTTCAAACGTGTCTTGTTCATTCCCAAGACATTTCTGGACCCATGTTCATGTAATTATTTCCATTGTTTTGGGCCATAGTATTCACCCTCTATATTTCTGTACTTATTTATGGGACATCATATATTTAACCAGTCAGATAAATACTGATGTAATAGTACATTAAAATAAGATGGGATAGCTCAGTTGATACAACAACTGGCTACGGTCTGGATGGCCAGGGTTCGACTTCTGCCAGGGGCAGGGATTTTACTCTTCTCCACAGTGTCCAGACTGGCTCTGGGGCCCACACTCTCTCCTGTCTGATGGGTAAGGGGACCTCTTTCCTGGGGTAAAGTGGCTGGAATATGCAGCTGACCACTTACCTCGGTCTAATGGTGAGGTGGAGCTATATCTCCACTCCCAGATACGTCTTCATGTCATGGTGCCATAATTAGTTAAGCACAGAAACCTTATGTGGTATATTAACTGTTTATTGGCTTTGACTTCATCAATATGGAAGCTGACCACTTACCTCAGTCTAGTGGTGAGGTGGAGCTATATCTCCACTCCCAGATACGTCTTCATGTCATGGTGCCATAATTAGTTAAGCACAGAAACCTTATGTGGTATATTAACTGTTCATTGGCTTTGACTTCATCAATATGGAAGCTCATGAGCTGCTGTCAGAGTGGTAAAAATTATATACATCTGAGTTTAGCTTTAGTTTTTATGTGGCCTTCTTCTGACACTTTTTATCACCCAACATTTGCCAAGGGAGGTGCCTGGTTTTCACTGTCTGAAAGTATAAAACTGTTGTTTCAGTGTAGGGCATGCAGAGAAGATTGATTGTCCAGATTCATCTGTTCAATTAATAACTGCTGCTCAAGCCTGTCATTGGTTTGATTTGCCAAAGTTTTATGCAGAAGCAGGCAGGGTTTTGGTTCCTGGTGGAGTTCTTGCACTGTATGGTTACCATCTACCAAGACCAAGATATGGCAGTACACATGAGGAGCTGTGCAGTATCGTTGAAAAGGTGTTACTGCAGTTCTTTAAATCACTTTCAAATGGATTTAATCCATGTTTACCTGGAACTTGTATAATTTATCAGTTTTCCCTTTCAGTTCTACTGCACAACACTCAGAAACTATGTGTTAGCAGAAAGTAAGGAGGCATATTTTGGTAATTACAGAAGTGATGAGTTCTGCAAAATCCCATTTGTAGATGGACCCATTGTACGGTGAGATTTTATATAACTGCAATAGACAGCTAGTGTTCATCTAATTAAATTATACTGAAGTGTCAGGTGAGAGGTTAAGTCTTAAGATTTGGCTGTGAGACTTCATTCTGTATGATGGTTGCCAGTTANCCCCCCAACCATACATTTACTGATAATTGGTGGGTCTCCCCTCATTGCTTTAGCGGTCTCCATGTCCCACTACATTGAGTTATTATTCCTAGAATTTGTGTATTTGAAATTGGATCCTAAGCATTTAATTTTCATCAGCGATTCTCACAGTTCCATGAAATGGAATGGAATTTTTCTGGCTTCACTGTTTGTCAGGTTAACATAATACAAAATACAAATGTTAGGAACTTTACCAGAAGGTAATTACCTGAATTGTAAAGAAAGATCCTTTTTTCTGTGATGGTGGAAACTATTTTCCATTTTACTGTATTCCAGAAAATTGTGGTATCATATAGTATTCTTTTTTAATAAAATATACATATGAAGCAGACAAGGGGAAGGTATTGTACCTTGGGTCTGTTTTTAGTTATGATTTTTGGGTGAATAAGATTATTGGTAGGAATGATTCAAATGCTCCACACTGTTACACATTCAAGTATATCTCACAGCTGAAATATACTTTTTAATTCAGCATTTTTTTACTTGTATGGGGGCTGTACCAAAAAGTAATGAGCAGTGTCAGTTTATGTGGGTTTTATCAACATAATGAAACTAGGGGTTACACAGCTGGTAGCTGTATCAGTTTTCTGCAATATGAAATACACATCCAATATGTGCATACCAGTGGTTATCTGTAATCCATTGTGACAAAATTGCTGTAAATGATGTATCATTTTGTTGGCATGCTGCCGTAGAATTCCTCTTGCAGAACAATTCTGTTGCAAACATCTTTAATCTACTTTATCATTATAAAAGATAAAACAACAAGGTTACTTTGTCATGTCTGAAGATTCTTGAATGGGTGCCAGTAGGGATGTGACTCTAGGTGAAACACTTCAAAGATAGCAACAGGGACATCACCAATCTGCCCTGCAGTGGTTGACCAAGAGCAGCCACCATGGATTGCAACAAGTAGGAAGACGGGATGACAATTATAGAAATCATAGTATAGCTTGGCAATGGACACAGTGCTGTACAGGAGAAGATAAGACTGGGACACTGGAAAGTTTGTGATGGGTTCCTTGACTGCTGACAGAGAAGTACAATAAGGCACTCATGGATGTGTCATTGCTGTTGCTTCAGTGACATCATACTGAGCATCATGACTCATGATGAAAGCTGGTTCTGCCATTTTGACCCTGAAATAAAACGAGCATGGAATGGTATCATACTGCATCTCCAAAGAAGAAGGGCAGAACCATACCCTTGGCTGGAAAAATTATAGGAGTAGATTCTTGGCAGGCCAAGGGATGCATAATGGTAATTTCCCACCAAAAAAGGAAACTGTTGTTACAGTTCACTATGTTGAGAGCTCCAGAAGCTGTGATGTGCACTTCTTGACAATCATCTGAAAGAAAAAAACATATTCAACATAATATTGCATGCCCTCATTCTGAATTCTTGCAGGTAAGTGGCAAGAGGTAAAGTGAACCAAGGTGCAACATGTGGTTGTACCTTGGGATGGAATTTAAGAAAAGAAAAAATAAGCAGATTTAATTTTCACATTTTGAGTATATTCCACTGAGAGACAGGGAGCAACTGACATCATCTGGAATAAAAATCATAACAATACCAGAAGATTTGTAATTAACATTCAGTCGGTAACTTTCATTTAATAACCTACTTGCATATGAAGGAAAAAATGTAGAAAGATAAGTTGTACTCAAAATATATAAAACCAAACGTGAACACCTGCATCTTTAAAGGTAAATACTTAGCTTTAATCTATTTCACACTGAATGCTCTGAAATCTGCTGGAAAGTACAACTGTCATGCTTGGCATATGGATGAGTCAGCTGGTAATGGGGGTTGAAGCTTCATAATATCCCTACTGGGGAATGCTGAAGTATTCATATTCCTTTTCTAGGGTGAATTTACTGGTGTTCTCAGTCAGCTTTGTAACAGTCCAAAGCTTTTAATACTCTTTAATGGACACTATGTTCCTCTTCAGCCATTTCATTAGAGTGACTGATTTATAAGGGAGACCCATCCATTAAGAAGTTTCGCATTTAGACAGGAACAACTGCCTTGTTTTGTTACCTGGAGCTTGGGTGACCGCTAAAGGGTCGAGGCCCATTAGAAAGGACATGTCTGTAGTTGCAGAACATGTAAATGTTGTTTGCTAATAGGGTAGCTGTTATAAAAGTGTCTTCGGAAGGGTGTAATTAGACCCTAAACTAAGAAATAACCGCTTTCACATGTAGGGTTCCGGGTTCAATATCTTTGGATCTCTTTATTCTCAAAGTTAGTAATGTGATTGTCTAGTACTGATGGTATGAATTGGCAGTTAAAATCAGCCATTAGAAAACTATTCTTGTCTGGGAGAAAGGCCGTCGGTTCAAATCCTATACAGTGGATGAAGTGACGCTCCCGCAGAATAGAGTGAGCATAGCACTTGGCATTTTGAATTCACCAGAGGCAGACGTCATTTACCTGCTCTCTCCAAGTTTATCTAAATTTAACAGTATTTATTTGGTTCGATTAATCTTTGGTAATAATAAAAGGGCACATTACTCCCTACTTGCCAATAAAGATATAGTGTTTGCTTCTGAATTAAACAATTTGTGATTAAGCAGAAATTAGAGTATTTTATTTCTATCAGTGGACTAGCTTTAAATGTGCAGTCTCCGAGTTGACTTAGTTATTACCGTGACACAACCCTGAGAAGAGTCAAAAGTGTTCTACCGAAGCGGGCAAATAAATAAGTCAAGTGTTCTACCGAAGCGGGCAAACAAATAAATAAACATAAAGATAGATAGGCAACGGTCACGAGAAGTGGCGAACAACGGTTGCGAGAAGTGACAGCTGAAGTGCGGTTGTAGCTTTAATACCTCATTTCATATTCATATCCATCAAAATCATACATTGCTTTAGATACATAATGGAAAAAAAAAATTCTTTTGCAGCCAGCTTCAATAAAACAAAATCTTGTGCCAATCATCAACTGCAAAATTCTCTTCCATTCCTTGTTATACAATATTAGTCATTTTTAATAGAATTGCACACTCACTGTTACTCGATTCTGCATATGTAACATCTTCAGGCCCCCTTTCAGAGCTGTCAGCAGTGAACAACCTTGTATTTACAATTTCCTTCACAGTTATTTTCCCTGGATGTTTCACTTTACCCATTTTAGCACTCTGATTTTCAGTTTCCTTTTTGTGCAGTGTTTCTGTCTGGATATTGCTTTTCCCACACTTTCTTCTATCATTCCATGGTGTGCCTCTAGTAAAGGTTCTTATTATTTGAGGAGATACTTTTTTTGCTTATAACTTAAATTTCTTCTTCATTGGTGGTTTTTGTGTTTGAAAGTGCATTTTCTGATATTGTCACTTGACTGTAAGCTCTGTCAGTAATGTAGTAGGACAGGAGTTTATTGTCGTTAAAAACACTTTCATTTAGGGGATGAATTCCTATCAGATTGAAGCCCCTTTCAAATGATTTTCCTGTACTGCCTGTGACACTATAAATGGTTACAGGTTTGCCTTGATTTGAAAACATCCATTCATTAAGGTAAGAACTGTAACATGCTTCATGTAGACCAAAGAGGGTACAGGCCAGTGGCTGTAACTTACACAGCATATGCAGAGGTACTGTAAGCATGATAATCCAATATTCTTCTCCTACATTAATGGCTGGAGAAGTATGCAATAGTGTAGTTAGTTAAGGCACTATGCTACAAGCTGGAAGGTCATGGGTGTGATTCCTGATAAGGTCACTGGATTTTTTCAATTCAATTGACCTAATCCTTCCAACTGCATTATGGCCTTGGGGTCAACTCAGCCTCTAACAGAAACGAGTACCAGGAATCTTCCTGGGGATAAAGGGTGGCTGGTGCTCAAGGCTGACAATCTCACCACCATCTGCAAGTTGATTGTCAACAAAATGTGGGAGCCTTGACGTCTCACAATCCAATGGGCTTCCACGGCCTGTTACAGGGATAGCCTTACCTTTACGTTTTTTATCTGCCTATATCCTGCTGTGTCATCTTCCCTATGTCTTATGCTCCCATACCTGAATGTCTAACAAACATATTGCAAAAGTATTTTAAATAGTCAAAATTTTTGGTATGCTGTAAGCAGTAAGTACCTTTACACCAAACAAAGGCACTAACACACTTCTTATAGTGAACAAATCTTTAAGTAGGTAATGCTATTTTACATCCCAAGGTACAGCAACTTCCTCAGATCAACAATAATCAGATAACAGTTTGCCAGCCGTCATTGTGATGTTACCCACCAATGATTTCTTATGAAATGTTAATGATAAATGTAATATATAAAGTGAAACACAAGTACATTTAACTCTTCAATAACAGTAGTGATGGAAATGCTGGAATACATGTTTTCATGCAGGTACTTGAAGATTCCACAGAGTAAGATAATATAAATATATATCTCATTAAATATGGTCCATATTAAGTTACATTCTCTTTTACTGAAGTAGGATCAGTGAAAGCCAGGTAATTGGCCAAATCCTGGTATGGTATTAGCCTTTAAGACTAGCTAACCTAAGTACTGAATCTTGGATATAATATACATTTGATAGAATTCATTTTGGCAGTACACTTTATATACCAAAATACATATGAACTCAACCATCTTAGTATATTTACTTTATTTCCTTTTTCTGATCATATACTATTATATCCCCATTATATTTGGTCAGAAAATAACCATCTTAAGTGGGAGGCCAAACATTAAAGGAAACTATGCAGTTTTATATGTAAATAAAAGTTTTAAATATCTAAGTCATAAAAATTTTATAAATTGTTAAAATTAATGTTATATTACAGTTCATTGATATGAACAGTTGAATACAGTCTTCTCAATTAGTGGTGCATCATGGTGTTATACATTCCCGTAGCCTCATACTTCAATACTCTACTCCTCAGGAACACACTGATGCTGCATAACATCACCAGCACATGAGAGACAGTGCACCCCAAATTGACAAGACTACATTCAACTATTCACATCAGTGAACTGCAATATACTGTTAATTTTAAATTTCTATAAATATTTCATGACAGACATTTAAAATGTTTTATTTAGGTGTGTTCTATCAATTAAGATGGGTGGTAGGATTACTTGGACTGCCTGTGTGGTCTAGTGGTCAGCGTTCCTGGCTACAGATCCAGAGGTCCAGGTTTGATTCCTGGCACTACCAGATTTTTTCTGAGAAGTAGTGGGTCTGGAACAGGGTGCACTCAGCCTCGTGATGATAATTGAGGAGCTATTTCAAGGAAATAGCAGCTCCAGTCTAGAAAACCGAAATTAACGGCTGTGGGGATTCATTGCGCTGACCACACAACACCCTCTATCCACAAAGTTGGCACTAAACTTCGCCGACAAATGGCAATCGCTTGGTCGGTATAGTTCGCTTGCGGACTAAAATCACAGAGTTTGTTTTTGTTTGGTATGATTACTTACTGGGCACTGCCACCTAAAAGGGCACCTTTTCAAACTAGGACTGACAGACGACCCAACTTGTGAAAGGTGCTTACAAGAAGATGAATCAGCCACACACATCTTATGTGATTGTGAGGCTATAGCTTATTTAAGATTTTGCCACCTGGGTCAGTTCTTCATGGAACCAAGTGACTTTTATGACGCCCCTATAAATAAAGTCTACATCACATTCGAAGTGTAGGATTAATAAAAGGTTAATCCAAAGGGGAGGCACAATGTAGATCATTGAAGGTTGTAGTGTGAGGGCCAGATTTTATGGCTCACCCATCATACTCATATACTCATAGGTGTGTTCTAGAGTGGCCTTTAATATCTGGTCTTTCCCTGAGGATGGTCATTTCATGACTAAAACATGTCAGGGACATAGGGTATTTGCTCATGAAAAGGAAATAAAGTAGATATAACTATGTGGTAGATTTCACATTGTATCTTGCTGCTTTTGAGATATATGTCTGAATAGTGTAGGTGGCTGAGGCACCATGATACAAGCCGGAAGGTCGTGGGTTCAAGTCCCAATGAGGTCACTGGATTTTTTTTCAATTGACCTAATCCTTCCAGCCACACTATGGCCCTGGGGTCGACTCAGCCTTTAACAGAAATGAGTACCAGGAATATTCTTGGGGGTAAAGGGTGGCTGGCGCGTAGAGCTGACAACCTTGCCACCATCTATGAGTCGACTGTCTAGAAAATGGGAACCTCAACATCTCACAACCCTATGGGCCTCCACGGCCTGTTACAGACATACCTTTACTTTTACTTTTAAGTTTGAAACATGTTAGAATGTTTTCATGTCAGCTGAATGTATTCAGTGTTTGTTTTGTAAAGGAGTACTTAACATTTTAAGGTCAGCAAAAACAGAAGAGAAAAATCTGTAAACATAAGGAGACACTTATTCTGAGTTGTTTGAATGCCAATTTAAGTATGTTTGGTGGCTTGGCCAACAAAACAGTAGGTCTGTGACTAGTGAAGATTCTAAGCACAACATAGCACCATAGAACTAGAAAGGTGTATGTTACAGTTAAGAATTCTGGATTGTTTTGTAACAGAAGTACTATTTTCAGTGACGAATCAGTGTCAACTAAATACAATGCAACTGTGTCTGACTTAGTTGGTTATGTCAGCAGCTGGTCAGCATTTCAGAACTATCAGAATCAAGAAGGAGAAGAGAAAGCAGCGGACATTCTTCTCAGACTTGAACAAGAGTTAGTACAAGTATACAATTTATACCTGATTCCAAAAATTTGTATTGCTGCTGTTCTCAGGATATTTACATTTTTTCCTCTTTTCTTTCTTTCTTTCTTCAGAATAATGGATATGATTCATACTGCCATGCCTCCACATGAGACACACCTAGAACTTGAGTATAACTACTTCCTGCTGATGGGACGAAAACCACTGCTATAAACAGTTTCAAAAGATACAGTAAAATCATGAATTCTGTATATGCATACAAACAAGAAACTTGGAAATATATAAGATAGAACCAAACAATGTATTTAAATTCCTTTATTTTTTTCTGAGGAAACAAATATATTTTTACCGAGTGTATGTAACTTGTTAAAATATGGGACTCTAAAAATGATAGGGCATAAAATTATCAAAGTGAAATTCTTATAATTTAATGAGTGTACAGATAAAATCTCACAAATTCTTGGATATCTATATTTTTACAGAATTTTAAAAGTACAAAATTAAAAAAAAATGCACTTGTGTAGCCAATGATTTTATTTTAAATTCACTTTAACATTACAAGTAGCAATATACAGAACTAATATTGACTTACAATACAACTGATAAAGTTGCACACAAGAAAATTGATCTTGGGCTGATGGAAATTCCAATTTTAATGTGGACTACTGCTGTGCAGTCTTTGAGGATTTCAATTCATCTAAGCATGAACTGGCTTCTTTCAAGACTTGAGCATTGTTGTGCTCTTTAGCATTTTTCCATGCATCTTGATAAAGTTGTTTGGCTTCCTCCATCATTCCTTTCTTAGCATACATAGTCCCAAGATTAATTAAAACTGAGCCAAAATCCTCCATGTCTGGAAGCTTATTTCCAATTGTGACAGCTTGAGTCAAATAAGAAATTGCATTGTCTAAGTCATTCTGAACAAAACAGATTGTGCCAAGGTCATTTAGCAATATAACTATTTCTTCATTGTTCACACCATTTATTTGCACACACAAGTCATATGCTCTCTTGAAGTTTTCAAATGCTTCTGGCAGACGATTCACATCCACTAGAAATCTTGCATACCAATCCAGTGTCATTGCCCACAACAATAGTGTGTCATCATCATATTTTCCTTCCTCAATATTATTCTGGAGATTTGAAGCACAGAACTTAAATCCTTCTTCTGCTTTCCTGTAAATAAAACATAGTATGAATACATTTTACATGCTTTTACAATAAAAGAGCATTTTAAGTCAATTCTACATTACAATCAATGTGGTCCACTGTCATTCCTAATAAATGAATTGCTCTGGTAGCAAATCACAGCCCTCACCAGATGTAGCTCCAGTCCCCAGGGCTCTAATATTTAGATTCTGAAGGGTTTAGAGGATGATGTATAATACTCAGAATTACTGGGTTTAAGAGTTTGTCCATTATCTGGTATTCTGGAAACTAGAGAACACAGCCTTTTGGAAACTGGACCTGTTTGCTGTCCTCAGGTGAGGGGGAAGACACCTACTCTGTTGCGTCCCTTAGAAAGAGGTAATCTCATTCACTGAACAATCCATGTCAAAGCCAAAGTCACATTGCGACTGACGGTCGGTCAGTCAGTCAGTAAGTCTTTGTGTCGAGCCCCAGATTGCTGTTTCACAGTTACAGTCTCATTTTCATGGGGCGCCCTCTCTGATGAGAGGATGGGTCTGCATTTTGTATATGTTACTGGCCCTTGCCAGCACAGTCTTTTTCGGGAATGAGTCCCTTGAGATTCATGACCATATTTTACTGTCTCAGATTTGAGACTTCCCTTTTCATCATCTCCTACGACTTGCAAGGTCACAGTGGAGGTATTTGACCCTGCCTCCAAGCAGGTGACAATCCATGTATTGTATTGTATTGGAGAGGGTGGGTTTCCCCATGCACTTAGACCAACTGTTGGTCCATTGTGCGTCCCCCTATGATATTTTACCAGTCTCTATTCCCTACCGGTAGTGGTGCATACCATCAGTCCCGACTCAGCCAGCGAGTTCGGCCTCTACTGGCTCAGCAGTATCTCAATGCTTGCCCCATCTACCAGAGGCGTTAGAGACTACTGTTGGGCGGGCAGTGTCCTGAATTTGGCTCAGTGGTCCCCTTAGGACATGAGGTTCTTTTACATGCCGTAAAGCTATGACACGGGACCCACGGCTTGAAGTCCCACCCGGAGGACTTGTTCCCTGAATTTTTCCGCCCTTAAAAATTCCACGACCTCCGCCGGGTTTGAACCCGTGTACCTTGAGTCACGAAGTGGGAACGTTACCCCTAGACCACGGAGGCCGCTTGACAATCCATGTATGTACAGCTACAACTATGTATGTTGTAGAGCCATGAAGTTCCTGGAATGTGGTTTTGTCGCATCATATTACAAGGTATTCACATACACTTATGCTGATCTAAGTTGGCCCTCAAAATAGTTGCCATTGGCAGTTATGCAAGTCTGCCAACGTTGATATAGCTGTCGAAAACATTGCTGAAACATGTTGGCAGTAAATTCCCGTGCAACACTTTGCGGCCATTCCACGAACTTATTGACTGGTAGTATATAAATACCTGAGACTGGGATTTGTCAAAGGGAGGTAGCAGGAAAATATGTAATGAAAATTGTGCCTACCACTAGCACCATCTATGGAGTGAAAACTAAACACAGGACTATAAAACCTTATAGAAACCTGTGAAGAATCCATCACATGACACTGATCATCTCTGTGAGTTGGTAACCTCATTGCTGATAAGGGGGATCGAGATGGGAGAAATGTCCAGACTGGGTTGGCTGATTGGATGGGTTAACCATGCCATGGGCCTATTCCATATATTTCCTATACCTGTTCTTACTTTCAATTTCCAAAATCCTAGCTTTATCTCAGCCTATCATATAACCTTCTTCATATGTATGTTGGCCTAATTTTGATTTTTCTATATCCTCTTTCAAATTTTTGAACATTCTTGGAACTACACAGCTAGAGGTCTGCCTGTTTCACCAATGTAGCTTCTGCCACATTCACAGGGAATGCTACAGATGCCCTCTGCCATCTGTTGGAGATCTCTTTCCAGCCTGGCTTTCATGAGTGAAGTAGAAGGGTTTAATTTTGAAGATCATCCTAATGTTATATACACAGCGTGACAGTTAAGTTCCCGAACTGTGGCCATAAAAACCACACAAAAAAGATATATTAATACTATCGCTCAATATAGTCCCTGTCCAAAATCAAATGCCTGAGAAAATGCTTTTTCCCATATCGCCTTCAGTTCTCTCATCACAGTCTGGTGGATTGATGAAACGGCCCTGAATGTCATTCTTTCATTGCAGTTTTTAATTTAGGAAATTAAAAAAGTCAGCCAACACTACATCAGGGGAGTAGGGTGGATAGGATAACATGGGGATTCCTCACTTCACTAAAAGCTTGGAGACAATGCCCGAAGAATGTGTTGGTGCATTGTCATGCAGAAAAAACCAGTACCCATTTTCCTGAAACTTGGACCTAATGTGATGAACTCGAGCGATCAATCTCTTAATTACCTCTTTATAAAATTTACTGTTCACAATCTGTTTTTCTGGCATAAATCCTTGAAGAATGATAGCTTTAGCATCAAAAAAATACAGTCAACATTGTTTTCACCTGCAGTTTTTGCACTGTCACTGTTTGAGTTTTTGGTTTCTTTGGACTCAACCAAGTTGCACTGTGATATTTTGTTTCTGGATCATACATGAAACACCAACTTTCATCGCCTGTTATAGTCGTTTTTAAAACATTTCTGTTGTCATCAGTCATTTCAACAAATTCAATGACTGATGCAGCACACCGATGTTTTTGATCCAGCATCAACAAAAACTTTTTTCTTTTCTAAATCTCCCGACTAATATCTTACATACTGTCTCTCTATTGATCCATATCATTTCATTTGAATACTCAAAGTTCAATCTTTGGCCAAACACTTTTGAACAAATTCCCTCGATTCTTCTGTTCTGGAAGTTGAAGGATGGCATATCTATTCATTGTCTTGTAATGACTCTCACCCTTCTTTGAACCTTTTATGCCATCCAAAGACATTTGTTCTTGATAAACATTCTTCACTGTACTCGCTTTTCAACATCTCAAACATTTCAGTAGTTGTTTTCTTTAATTTTATACAAATGCTGTCTTTTGTTCCATTTTTAAACCAACATGACAAAAAAAAACTAATTTCACCAAAACAATTGTAATCCTCATATGCATCAACCAAACAAGCAGAAACTTGCACATCATATAAATAAACGTTCTCTCTAACTAGTCCCATTCATCCCCAATAGATGGTGTTTACAGTATTACTGTAATAGCGTCAGTTTGGGAACTTAACTGTCACAGTGTGTACACACAGCCCAAAGACTCTTCCTCTTTACATGGACGACTGCTACCCTTGGAATTAATACCTGAGTTAATGAAACCTTGGGGATATTTGTTGAGCTGAAGATCATGTTTCAGGATAATAATTTCATTAAACAGATCTTGTCATTCTTGGCTTTTCGTATGTGGTGGATCTGAAGCTGAGATATCGGCCAGTGTGGGTGGGTTGTCCACTTCCTGATAATAAGAACATCTAAAAAATGAACTGACTGACTGAATGTATTTCCATAGTGAACTTAATGGAAGGGCTTAACTATTGAGGTGGCTCAGGAAATTCTGTAACTGCTCTGGGCCATGAGGCCAGATAATGAATGTGTCATCAACATACCGGAACCACAGCGATGTTTTTGTTCTGCTGAGTCAAGAACCAGTATCTCAAAATGCCCCATGTAGGTGTCGCTAATGATGGATGACAGAGAGCTTCCCACAACCATGCCATCTTTCTGTTGGAACAACTAATCATCCACCTGAAAATATGTGGTTCTCAAATTTCCAGCAGTTCCATGATGGCTTAAACCTGCAAGACAGACCGTTCCATCAATGTGTCATCATTATGGAGCTTATTTCTGATGACTTGTAGGGCTCTGTCAACTGATGCATTAATGACAAAACCAACACCAAACTAATGAGGGTATCTAGAGATTGAAGGTTTACAGACTTCAAGAACTGTATAATGCAGCTCAAATTCTTTACAAAGGGTTCTGATTTTCCAGCAAGAGGACTGAGTATCTTGTGGAGAAAACCAGCCAGGACATGGCAAAGGGAACCAACAGAACTTGCTACAGGCCTTAGAGGAATGCCAGGTTTATGAATCTTGGGAAGACCATATAGACGCAGAGGTTTGCTGCGATATGGAGTCAGCTTATGTTTTAGATCTATGGGAAGAGCCGTTTTGAGTTAGGAAGGAGTTTCTGTACTTCTAGAATATCTGGCAATGGGCAATGTCTAAAACCCCAGTAATTCTGAGTAGAGTATTTATTTATCCATTTATTTTGAAATAAAAAGTCATTAAACTAGATTGTAAATTCAAATGGTTAATCATACTAACTTTAACACACAAGGCTGAAAGCAAATTGATCATAAAAGCAGCAGTTTTTTGATAGTCACATGTGCACAAGCAACATCTTTTCGATACCATGAGCTGCTGTACAAGTTGACATATGTTGTTTGTACTCAGATGAATGATTCTGTTCAGTGAAAAAGTGATTTTAAAGTGGAATCTACTGAACAGAAAATAAATGTGAATAGTTGCTCTTATAAAATTAATGCAAGAAAGCAATAAAAAGTAGTGAGCACAAGAAGTTTATCAAAGAATGAGAAAAACAATATTTTGTCACAGATGTAGGATCAACATAACCACCATATTCAAGGATTTCAATCTTAAATACCACTTTATTCCAAAACATTAACGAGACTGCACCCATTTATAGGGGGATGCAAGACCAAGAAAAGCCAAAGTTGGTGCTAANGGGGGGGGGGGGACAGTAGTGTTCTTATATCCCAAAACAACTTGAGAAAGTTTCTTATTGTCATGTACAGTAGCATAGCTAAGCACTACAAACCATTTTGTACAGTGACTTTGTGAAACAGTGCACATCGAATGTAGCTGAAGCAATCTGTCTGGAAAACAAAACAATAGTTTGTGATACAGTTCAGTTACTGTATATTTATATGAAATGTGAACTGTAACTTAGATGTCATTACTGAATAAGTTCACATGGAAATTATGAATGGCACAACCATTGAGAATTTTCATGAAAGACTGCCAACAGTTCTTGAACAACATGAATATCCTGGAACAAGTTCATGTCACCACAAATTGATCACAGAATGGCAGGTAAGAAACCTACACTTTCTGAAAAGGATGCAAGATGCTACACATGAAATGTGTCCTAATTGGCAAATATTATTCCCCACTATATTATTCACCAAGAGATACCAGTAATCTGCAAAATTGTTTTAAACATCAACTACCTGCCAAGAACACCTGTGAAACTTCTAAACTTCATACAACCAAGAGGTCTGAACCAAAAACAGTTCATATCGATGCTACAAGATTTGGATACTGAACAGAGACTACTACTGATATACCATACCACTCCAATTCATTCATTTCATTTATTCACCTTTCATATATCCTGTCGAGAATACATTCTCATGCAGATGTGGAGATCGTCCTAGTTACAGTCACAACTAAGAATTACAGTTTTCATTCAATAGCATACACATTTGTAATAAAATACTGATAAACATACACAATATAATAAATAAGTTAATTTTAGTAGTAAAAGTAATGGCAAACCTTATACAATTTGTACAGTTTTATACAAGTCTATTAATTAAACATTCAGTAGTTAAAACATAATGTCACTAATGTTCAATGGCTAAGTTTATCTGTATCTGTATCTTTAATTCCATACATCTTTACTGGCTACTAAAACCATCACATATAGAACATGTCACATATGCATGCATCAGTTCTAAACATACAACTAGTCACCTTAAAACTACATTCATAACATAAATTATAATTATACATAATTCAGTAATTTAACAAGCATATAGGACTCATCAACTTGACAGTAATACCCTATTGAGATCATGGCTTAAATATATAAACGTATACCAGATTATAATAAATTAATTTATACGACGTACTATCTCCATAGCATTATAAGAGGTTTAATTCATTTTGTATTTAAAATATTCATCCTATGTATAAAATGAATGGAAGTACAAAAAAATTTCAAGGCCGATTTAAATTGTTTTGTATTATGGTACAAATCCTCTATTGGAATAGGTAAACTGTTAAACACCTTAATACCAGTATAATATGTTTCCTTCTTATAAACTGACAAATGAGATGGTGGATGATGCAAATCAGATTTGGTCCTAGTATTAATATTATGCATCTCAGAATTTACTTTAAAATTATGTTTATTATTGATCACAAACAATGAAAGTGAATATATATACTGAGACTGTAGTGGTAAATTTTTTAAATTCTCCTAAATATTCTCTACATGAATGTCTCTAATCCCCACCATAATGTAATATTTCTTTTTATAGTCTAAAATGATATTGCTATAACAAGAATTTCCCCCAAATATTAGTCTGTAAGTCATGACAGAGTGAAGAAAGAAAACAATTAGCATATTCAATGATTTTTGGGACAAGAATGACTTAATTGTTCTAACAGCAAAGCAAGCTGAACTTATACAGAACTATTAGGCTTATTTTGGATTTTAGCCATCGTCTGGTATATATAAGACAAAAAACCACAATGTTTTGGAGACTGGATCTGTCTCCATCTTCAGGTGGATGGGGCAGGATAGATCTACTCAGTTGGGCCCATTAGAAAGAGCTAGTCTCAATCACTGGACCACGTTGTAGTTTTTTGTCTTACATATACCAGACAATGGATAAAGTCCAAAATAAGCCTAATAGTTCTGTACAGCATACACCATCGTCAGAATCCTTAAGTCAAGCTGAACTTAGTTTGGGGTAAAATGTATCTATACCAGTCTTCCAAGAAAATGTGATGTCCAATGTTAGACCAAGGAATTTTGTATTATAAATATTAGCTATTTTCTTGTTCCCATGCTTTATATTTAAATCGATTAAGGAACTAGTCTTAGTTATAAATTGCATAAATTTAGGTAAAGTCTTCAAGAGTGTGTGTGGAACTTAAAAGAAGAAATGCTGGCATTTGTGCAACATCAACATTTACACCAAATAATAGAAAACCAGGACACACCATCACCTGTCACATAACTTTGGTGAGTACTGTTTACATATCATATAATACAGAAATATTGAGTCCCTAAAAATACTTATTTCCACATTGGCATATGACATCCTAGTCCAGCAAAACATATGAAACCACTCATTAAACTCTTTAACAATGAAGTTCACTCTCCTCTGGTCTACAGTGTTTCTCATGCTGTGGACAAAGTCACTGTGGTGTCAGGTGGATGAAAAAGTTTCCTGTGCTTCTCTTACAGCATACAGAAGAGGCAGAATATTACATGATGTTACACGGTCTTCATGCAAATGAAAGCAGGTATGTGCCACCAAAATACTGTTATCTGAATTACTGTTATACTTTCAATGACAAATACAGTAATTTCTGCAAAGCTAGTCATTCTAGAAAACAAGCTTATTTTCTGTCCATCCATATACATTAAGTGAACAGAATGTAGTGTAGTATATACCTGGTATCCTTTTGAATTCTGTAAATATTTGCAAGTTTGAGACTTATATGAATCAGTTTGTTGTCTGTTTTAGGTGTACCTGTAGACAACAAACGCTGCATTACACTAACAAACAATTTTTCTGCTTTTTCATGTTCTCCTTGTTCATATGCCAGATTTGCAAGCAGATCGTAGATATGGGTAACAGCAACATAATTTTGTTGTTCCTGAGCCAATTTTAAAGCAACATGAAACATCTGTTCTGCTTTTTTAAATTCTCCTTTCTGCAACAAAAATTTTACAAAATTAAAATATATACCAACATTAAGGAATCATCATAGATGTAATTAGAAAATGGTGACCTATCTGTCTTATTTTGTTTTCTTAGTCTATCATCAAGGCCTTAGCGATCTACTATCATTATCAACCAGCTGAAGTTCGCACTTCTGCATCTGTTTCCAAACTGCTATCCTTATAGATACCCAACAGATTAGCCAGCGCTGGTGTGAAATGTAGCATCATTACACAATATGGATATTCACACCTGTGTAAGTAGAATGCCCCTCTTCATAGTAGTAATTAGTTCAGGTTCTTCTGTTGGATCAACCTTTTTCAGGCCAAATAAATTAAAAATCCCTGCTGACACAAACAACAGTCTACTGTTCAATGAACTCCAATCTTTGTTGTAGCGTGTGGCACCTCTGGAGGTTATATTGTTTTGGTAGCACATACGATTCGAATTACAACTGATGCGATTTATGACTGATATGCAATTACGTTTAACTACACTTAATTTGAAATAACTGAATTTCCCCACATCCTTACCAAAACCATTTATAGTTTTTGACACATATTTTCCCAAATTCCTTATATAAAATGACATGTTTAGATCTCAAAATCTCAATCTGCTAGCAGCGTAACGAACGGTCACTAATTACCAACACACGAATACGTACAATTTTAGATTTAACACATAGCTGTTACCGGCAGTTCGTAAACATTCACCACACAGCTGTAATTGACTGTTACCTGCTGTTACGTAAACATTGATGTTTGACTATTACAACTACACACATGATATGCCCATAAAATGAACATGCATAGTTAGCATAGTTAGCGATAGTTAGTCTTCATCATAGCGAGTCAACCATCGCGATCGATCGCGATGTTTTCTGCAGTCTCGGGTGGTCTGTGAACCGACGTTGTTTAAGTAGCTGTGACCAGTGGTACAAAACACAATTGAACACATACATTGTAATAACACTACTTCAGTTTTGACTCAAACACATGAAACCAGCATCGAGTGGAAGAATGTACTTCCGTCGCGAACAAGAAACAAGAACAATTGAGAAATAGGTAGTGAAAATATATGTGTTGGATGCAAGAGGCGCAAGAAAGCCCGATAAAGAAATTGGAGATGTTAAGTGATTAATTTAAGAACTATATCGTATGAAATAAGTATATGTTTGCGCGTTTGATTGGTCACATGTCGGGTTAGTGATTAGTTGTACATACGTCAGGAGGAGCTGCATGTACCATTTAAGAAAGACTGTAATTCTGTTGCTTTTGCATAGGGTACAAGCATGACCTCCAATAATGCCGCTGAAGACTCTGTGAGAAGTGATGGCAGTCAGTCAAGTAGTTGGGTTCGTTTTGAAGAGGATGATGGTGTTAAACGCACTACCCAAAATAAGGAAACACCACTAAATCAAACACAGCCAATAGCTGCAGCAATACAGAATGCAGATGAGTACAGTGGTGCTGTTATCAAACCAGAATTGGTCCATATGAATGTTAACCGAAATGCCAGTCGTTCTGTATCTCCAGATAAGCCAGAAGCTTCAAGTAATAAAGAAACAGCAGTACCTTCCAGCATCCCACAGCAGTACAGTGGTGCAGTCAAAAATACGGAGTCAGCACAGCACAATCTGGAGCACAGCAGCTTAAATTGGTCTGTGGGGGAGGACCAACAGCGATCAGAATCAACTCCTTCAACTACTGCACCCAACAAACCCCAGGATGCAAGAATAGGCATGTGGAATGTAGATCTAAGGGATACAAATAATGGTAGACCTGCTCCAAGTACCAGAATTTCAACTCTTGGGAACTCTGTGGTCAGACAAGGCTTTGGTAAGCTGAAAAAAAATATTACATATGTAAATTGCAGTAAAGTGCACTTCTGATTTATGTCTTGGAAGTGTTAAGATATTCATCTTACAAAAGAAAATTGTTAGAATAATGGCTGGTGTTAAACCAAGAGAATCATGTAAAAATATCTTCAAGAGGCTAGAGATCTTAACTCTCCCATGTGAATACATATTCTCCTTAATGGTCTTCATTGTAAAAAACCAAGAATTTTTTCCAACCAATTCTACAATACACAGTGTCAACACAAGGAATAAAAATCAGCTTCACAGACCAGTTGCCAGCCTCTCTTGTTTCCAGAAGAGTGCATATTATACTGGCATTAAAATCTTCAACAATCTACCACCAAATATCACAACTCTTATAGATAAACAGGGACAATTTAAAGTAGCACTAAAGAGATACTTAATTACACACTCCTTTTACTCTGTTGAGGAATTTATGCTTCCAAACAACATAAAGTGTATGTAATGTTTTCTCTTGTTTGGAACACAGGAAAAAAAAAATCTAGTATATGTTAATGTATGGATTTATGATGGATATTTTACTACTTTTGTGAAATCCTTACTATTTATGTGAAATTGAATTGTGCATGTATATATGTATTGTATGATTTTTGACAAATTCCACATCCGGTAGGTCATCTGACTAACTCATGGATCTATGGAATGCTATGTATGTATGTATGTATGTATGTATGTAACATATGCCGATTATAGCAGATGCTATATATATGTTTGCTTTTGTGGTCAAGAGAATGTTCAAGGTAGACTAATTGTATCCTATATCTCTTCTGTTTTGCTCCATAAACTGTTGAACAGCTGTCATGAAGTAAGTGTATGGATTATGTTCTTGCCATCCTATCGTGAACCATGTTGCTACTGTTATGATCTGTGCAGTAAGGTCATACATTAGTCATGTAATTCTTGTATCAGAATGACGTATGAAATACATATTAGAACAGTGTGTGTTGATATCTTGTACCTATGTGAAAATTGGGTCTGCAGTTATACTAAGGAAACTACTCCAGGTTCGTTACTGGAGGAATTAAACACAAGTGTGTATTGAAGAGAAAATGGATGATGTCAGTGTTGTGCTTAAGTGCTCTCTTTGGAAATTTTTCAGGCATCATGCACTAAAGTTCAGCATTTCAAATTTCAAGTTGACATTTTCCTATCAAGAACTTAAATGCATGAATCTAAGCTTTCTGCATAGGTACCAGTAATGCATTTATGTCAGTAGACAGCATTTCAAACATCTGCTGTGACCTGGGTAAATGTTATTTGTAATATGTTAGGGTATATGTATGCCCATTCTGCTAGTAGTCTGTATTGACAGGAAATGCATCTGACTCTTCCACCTGAGCCATCACTCATTTGCGTGAGTCTAAAAGAATTTCACTGTATATGTACATTTCTAAAATTCTGTTATTAGTGATTTCACAAAACAACTAGGGGCATGGAGATGGCTCTTCAGTCATTCAGTTCCCTTTAGATTTACTCAGTGTTTTCAATGTTTCTGAAAGAACCATTGTTTAGAGTCCATGAGTTTGCAAAATCATATTTTCATTTATGAAAATATAAATTTATGAACAGAATTCTCTCACATTTTTATGGACTCAGGTCTGTTCTGTGATGCCTTATGCAGTGTGATCATCTTAGAGTTTTCCACAAATTGGTGGGCTTCTCAGGTAGAAGAGATAAACACCTTTCTGTCAGGTTGATGTGTGAAGCTAAAAACCAAAGAGCATGTTCACATTACAGTTCCTCTTCAGTTTGGCCTCAAATTGTTGAGCGGCTACTGTCAGTGTATGTGTTAAGTGTCAGAGCACTTAGAAATCGCAAGCTGTATGTTGTTATTCCTGTGGTATTTGAGTATATTTTACTTTTTCCATGTCTTGAGTTACACACTGCAACAATATGTAGTGTGTAAGTAAGGTAACAAGAGTCATTCCATGTCAAAAACAACACAGAAAAGAGACATTTCAAACTTGACCCCATCAGAATGGAATGATTTCTTTGTGGGATTCTAGTCCCTTTGGAGAAAACTATTCCTGCAAAATCTCAAAACCAATAAAATGCTTTTTCAGTGATCAGTTACACTAATATATTCAGCACAATTATGTTTTTAAGATCTTCAAAGATTACCTTTGACCTTATATTTCTCAGAATATAGCATTTTTCAATTTCTGGTGTTTCAGATAATATGCACACAATATTTAAAGAAACCATAATACTGCATTTCTCATTCAAAACAATCAGCATACTGTGCATAAGAGTTTATCTCTAGGTCCCTAATACAACATATTGTTGACATTCATAACACTGGATTCTTGTTTAAGAAAATTACCCTGAATAAGGATATTCACTGAAATTCCTTAAGCCATAATCCAGTTTTCCCTTGGTAAAAATAATTCTCGTGTATTTATGTTTTATGCCATTTCTTTTTATGTTTTCTTCAGTGCTGTAATCAGACAGTTACAGGTTATAAATGATCCACATTCCTCAGAAGTTGTAATGAAGTCTTGCTCATGAATTGTGAATGACTTACTGCCAGTTTCAACTGCTGTAAGCTACACTTCCATACTGGTCTGTGCAAGCAATAATCTGTGCAGCACTACAATAGAGGATCTCATATCAGGAGATCTGAATGCAGTTAAAAAAGTAGGACTGCCAGCATACTGGAGAAAGTGCAAGCAGTATGGTGGGTTAGCTGTTAGTAACTGAGTGCATTTATCTTTTCTCATCCAAGGGCATATGGGTACTTATATTGTTTATATTGTTCATATTGCCTTTAGAAATCCTAGAGGAGGAAATGAACATGCCATTTATGATTACTGGGTTTCTGGATGCCAGTATTCTGAGTGGAACACAGTGTTTTGGAAATTGGAGCGGTCTTCATTCTCAGGAAAAAATGGGGAGACCCATCATCAATGGTATCATTAGGATGATCTTATCTTTGTAACTGGAAACATTATGTTCTACTCAGAATGCCAGATGATGGACAAGTCCAGGAATCCAGTAATCCTAAGTGTAGTATGTTGTCAGAATTCTTTATGCTTGATTTATACCATTTGTATTTGCCATCGTATGCTTCATGCTTAATTTTTTATTCCTTTAGCAAATGGCGATATTGTTGTGACACTGCTTCCTGTTAATACGAGATGGCCTTGGATCACCCCTGCACAGTTCCGTCCTGAACTTGTACCAGAGGAGCTTATGGCACAGGGACTTACGGTATATAACAAAATTAACTTTTTATTTTATTTCATATGTTGCTGAGATAAACTTGTAATAGTTTTGGTGCCCCAAGTAGTGGTACTGTGTTTGAATTTGTATTGAGTAAGAGGACTGTAGCTTTTCTGAAGCATACATTTCTAAAGTAATTATGTCTTGTTAAAAAATTTGCATAAAGAACTTATAGTTTTCCTCTTACGTACTGGATTGAATTAGCTTTGGTATATGTCCAATACTGGAATTTGGTGTTAGTGGTGTTGAACCTTTGGGCTCTATTTTCAGAAAGGTTGGCTGATAGGTTGGTTGATTTATGAAGGGTTANATAGAAAGATGAAACCCTAATCTATGTACTCCTGAAAAGAAAATTGGAATATCTTTCCTCGTTTTGTCAGCAACGTCCTTCAAAGCTAACACTGCGCAGGTCGGTGAACTGCACAGATGTCGGTGGCATACAATTATTTAAAGGGTCGGTGCAGTACACGGATGTCGGTGCGGAAGGGTTAATTGAGGGAGGGGGGGGGTTGCAAAGTGGGCTGTCAAGTCTTCCCTTCTGCCGTCTTTTTGCATCATCTGTACCATTAATCTAGTCATCTCTTTCTTTTTCCTGAGTGATTCCCTTCACATGCTGAATGGCTACCAGATAATCTCATATTCATATTGATTTTTGCCACATGTGTGTGTATACCACAGCAGTTCTTATTTTGCTCCTCTTTTAGGATTATTTTGTACTTAGTATTTTAGGTCTACTCACTCACTCACTCACTCACTCATTGATGGAGCTGAGCCCTTCGTGAGAAGCTGCCAATTGTGCAGTTGCTCAAGAACTTCCTAGCATTTTATGGAACCTGAAGGTTCATTACCATGTTCACAAGATCTCTGCACGGGTCCCTATCCTGAACCAGATCAATCCAATCCATACCCATCTCTCTAAGATCCAGTTTAATATTGTCCACCTATCTATGCCTTGGTCTTCCCAGTTGTCTCTTCCCATCTGGCTCTCCCACCAATATCCCATATGCATTTCTCTTCTCCCCCATTCATGCTACATGCCCTGTCCATCTCATCCTCATTGACTTGATCATTCTACTTATACTTGGAGAATAGTATAAGTTATGAAGCTCCTTATTATTCAGTTTTCTCCAACCTCCTGTCACTTCATCTCTCTTCTGTCCAAATGTTCTCCTAAATCAATAAATAATGGAGCAAGGATGGTCTTATTTGCCGATGATACTAGTATAATCATTAATAGTATTAATCAGACAGAATTTGAAGATACTGTAAACAAAATATTTCAAAGTATAAATGAGTGGTTTACTTCTAATCTTTTATCTTTAAGTGAAGAAAAGACCCAATTCATGCAGTTTGTAACGAAGGCCAATACACTACATGAATTAAATATAATGAACGGAAATAAGAAAATAACTAATATGTATAATACTAAATTCCACAGATTAATACTGGATAATACTCTCTCATGGAAGGTTCATATAGACTTAATTGTATCTAAGCTAAGCTCAGCCTGCTATGTAATAAGAATAATAAAGCCTCTCCTGTCCCAGGAAGAAGTAAGAATGGTATACTATGCTTATTTTCATTCGATCATGACCTATGGGATAATATTTTGGGGAAATACTTGTCATAGTGACTTAATTTTTAGATTACAAAAGAAAGCTATAAGAATAATTAAGGGGATTACAAGTAGAGAGTCATGTAGGAAACATTTTAGAGAACTAAAAATACTAACACTAAAATCACAATATATTTATTCACTCTCTTCATTTGTGATCAGTAATAGACATTATTTTGAAACAAACTCTGTCATTCACAATGTTAATACTAGGGCAAAACATGATTTACATCAACCGCTATCTCAACTGACAGTTTTTCAGAAGGTGGCCTATTATGCGGGAATAAAGGTGTTTAATGTCTTACCAGCCACAGTAAAGGAGATATCTCAAAATGCTGAACAATTTAAATTCGTATTAAAAAATTTTTTATTTCTTCACTCATTTTATACCATGGACGAATACCTTAACTATAAGTATTAAATGTAATATTATATTATATTTTCAAGATACAAGATTTAAATCGTAATTGCAATATGACTGAATCTGGAACCAATTTTAATGAATTGTGAATAAAATAAATGTTTTATTTTGTATCTATTAGTACTATAAGTTGTTTGTATATTATGGGACCTTGTCCTCAAAGATATTTTAGATACTTTAAATTGTATTGATGAAATTTAAGTTAAGTAGGTGGCATTATCATGTGTTTTGCGTGTTTACAATTACTGCTGTGATGGTGAATTGTTATTATGTATATGAGGTTTTCTGTTATAACGTGGTTCTCTGGATGTTTTTAAACTAACATTTGTATATTTGTACTTTCTGTATTCTGTTATGACACTGTCCTTATGGACACTTAAACTATATGGACGTGTTCTATATCTGAGGCAATATCGCCAAATGTAGATCTTGTGAACAAATAAAAAATGAATGAATGAATATACACCCTCAGTCTATGTTCCTGCAGAACAGAGTACTCTGCACTGTTGGAAAACCTGACAGGTACAGACCAGTCTATGAATTGCATGTTGCATTCAAACTTCCATACGTGTATGACTATAACAACATTGTGCAGCACACAGGCAGGAGTAATCGTAAACCATGTAAATCTGAATGTACATGGTACTGGACAAGGAAAAGCCAGGCATGGACAGTATAAGAGGCTTAAACTTGGCAGCTGTCAGGCCTGTGACCATTCAGCTGACTGACTGCAATTTTAGGGTAGTTACATAAGTTGAGGCATAACCTGCTGCACAAGCCTGCATTGACAGAAAATCTCTTTATATCTTGTATAAATATTACTTAGTATAGTTCAGTGACAAAGGATGCACAGAGGCCATAGTGACCTGAATGCTGTTACAGCATGGATATGCTTGTGCTGAAATTATGCTGCTACAAACATAGCATCTGTGTAGAAAAACTGACCCCTATTTCAGCTAACAGCAGGCCCCATTTTGAAATACATACATGTCTGAGAGATAATAAAAATCTTGGTTAAGGATCTCAAGGAGACTGAACAAAAATGACTTTGCCAGCTTAAAATTAATTGACCAAATGGTCAACCCCTTGGTTAGGTGCAAGACAGCTGCCAGCCAGTAGCAACAAAGCAGAGAACATTTTTGGGATGTGTTAGTAGCAACAACTGGTGAAGACACAACAGACTTAAAAGACTTAGAGGATGCATAGTGAATTGTAAACTGTGTGCATTAGCAGTAGTGCTATAATTCTTTGCAGTTACAATTTGTAAGTGTGCCAGTTACTGTTAGTCCATTACTGGCTTCCCATTTGTATGTGCAGTACTCACAGTTTCTTTGTTTTCATTGGACCACATCGTTATTCTTATAAGAATGTGAAATTGTGTCACTTGCTTCTGTTTAGAGATCAGTGAGGAAAAATTTGTATATGTGGTGACGCTGTATAGTTCAAGTATGAGGTGTTTAGTGTACTGAATTGGTGGAAGAAATTGATGTGAATGTTTGTTTCCTTTGGCAGCTTACTGTTGAAGACTATGTACATGTTATGGAAATTTTAACCAATGACGTGCGTTTCAATGTCTACAATGTTTGCTACAAGCGCATCCTTGTGGCTTGGATCTTCACTGCATTCATTGTACTGCTTGGACTTCTGTTCTCTGGCGTAACAGGACTCACATTATTTGGACTGGGAGTCATGTGGCTTGTCCTGAATGCAGCAGCCATATTTTTATGTATGTGGATCAAGATCAAGGTGTGTATCATGTAATTTAGCAACTACTTCCTTAAAATAAATGTTGTCTCTTCATGTTAATAATTCCAGTCAAGTGCAACTAACTATTGAAGGTTTAGTAGGCTGTTTATTTAAAATTGAATAATACAACAGAGATGTCTTATTAAAGTTTGAAGCAGGGAGTGTTGAAAATGAAATGTTTGGCACATTGTACCATTGTCATTGTACATTGAACATCTTGTAATACATACATGCACTACATGCAACAGAAAATCAGCCTTTAAGTGTTGGTCAAATTGAATTGTGGCAGGCCTGGAAGACTGTCTTCACCACCTGAATCTGTTCATTGGCAAGGAAATGGTTAGAACATCCAGTTACTTCTTTCTCCTTATCTATCTCTTCAGTACTGAAAAGTCATAAAGATGAGCATATTTGATCATTAAAATTTTGGGAAGGTTTTGGTCATGAGGCTTGATAATTCATTTGTTCCAAAAGTTCTACTTACTCCAGTGTTGTGCGTCAGCCAGTCTGGATGACTACAGAATCTTTAGTTCACTTTCGTTGCTGTTTGTATTAGTCTCCAGAACTTAAATGTTGATTTCAGAAATACTGGTGATTTTTACATTTCTGAACCATAGAATTGGGGTTTAAAACATGTCCTCTACATAGAATGTGTAGAATAGCTGTTTCAGAGCTTAAACCTTCACAGATTCAGTTTCGTATACTGAACAGATGGCATAATTGAATTTACAAGTCTATTTATGCAAGATGATACTCATTTGTATAGCGTCACTATGCAGTAGACTGATTATAAGCCTATCGTATGGGCATTGCATTTATAAGACAGCATAAAGAATGCTATCTCCATCCATCATTGACTTGCACATATTAATTTTAAATAGTTACTATAGGATTCTGACGATGGTGTATAACACACTGATATGTTGGGTTTTTGGACTTTATCCATCGTCCTGGTTTTTAAGATAACAAATAAAAACACGACGTTTCGGAAACTGGATCTGTTTCCGTCCTCAGGTGAAGGAAAACACCTATTCAGTTGGGTCCCTTAGAAAGAGCTAGCCTCAATCACTGGACAAACCGATGTCACAAAACATGAAGATTATAAAAACCTGAGACCAGGCTAAGTCCATGAGAGCTAATAAGAAAAATATTCATAACAAATTGTAGCAAACACTTACAAGCAACACTTACACTTTATAATCTTCATGTTTTGTGACATCGGTTTGTCCAGTGATTGAGGCTAGCTCTTTCTAAGGGACCCAACTGAATAGGTGTTTTCCTTCACCTGAGGACGGAAACAGATCCAGTTTCCGAAA